TGGATCTCCAACTTGTGTTCCGGTACCGTGACCTTCAATATAAAATATATTTTTCAGGTCAATATTGTTACGCGTATAAATATCATTGAGAAGCATCATTTGCCCACGACTTGATGGAACACTGTAGCCAGTTTTCTCTTGATTTCCATCATGAGACGCCATTACATCACGAATGACACAGTAAATTTTATCTTTGTCTCGTATAGCGTCGCTCAATCGTTTGAGAAGGATCAAACCAACTCCTTCACCTAGAATAACAAATAAAGAGACATTTCATATGCCATTTAATCTAAGAATAAGTGATAAAATTATTAGAGTTGAGACTCGATGCTCAAATCTTTTTTTTTCTATGAAGAGTGATCATAGTTGTAGAGAACCGAACTAAAAAGTTCTATAATTTATTTTTGATCTAAGAGAAGAACTATCAAAAAACTCTGTTCTAGAAAACATAATGACAATAGGCTATCAAACATGTCGCTTAATCGGAGCATTTGACTAGTCAAAACTAAACATGTCATTTGTATTTTGTCAATCTGAGCCTCATCAACATTGATTGAAGAATGTTTCTCTCGTCTTTAAGTGTCCGATCTGATCGATATACGACTGGTCGATAGTTCGAATAAAACTAGCTGAATTAATATCGTAATCAGTGATTTGTGTCATTCTTTAAGCGTCTCTTTTTACAATCAGAAAAGAGTCAAAAAAAAAACGAATATTTTCATAGAACCGTTTTCATAAAGTTAAAAAGATCTGAATTTTTCAATCCATCGAAGAGAATAAACAGTTCATCTTTCAATCGGGAAAATTCTAGTTAATCGATCGAAACGATGACATCCGATTACATCTCGCTTTTCTCTTTTTGTTGAAATGATTTTCGATGGAATCATTTACTTACCTTTTGCATAACCATTTGCATCTTCACTATAAGAACGTGATCGACCATCAGGTGAAATCGCACCAATGAATGATGCCGTGAAAAATGTTTCAGGTGCGTAATTCAGATTTGTTGCACCAGCTACGGCTAAATCTACTTCACCATTGCGTAAACTTTGAACAGCAAGATGAATGGCTTGAAGTGACGATGAACAAGCTGTATCCAAAGTTAAATTTGGACCAAGAAGATCATAAAAATAAGAAAGTCTACTGGAAGCATTGAAGAGCGATATATTCGGTCCCATTATAGTGTGATCTTCCATTTTCGTTCGATTAATTGTTATTGCATGATCATTTGTAAATTGACCAATGTAAACAGCTGTTCTACTACCTCGAATTTGATCGAATGTATAATTGGCATCTTCTATTAGGTGGAAAAATTTTTTGAGTAAGAGACGATGACATGGGTCCATGAGCATTGCTTCACCATCTGTTATACCGAAAAACGATGGATCGAAATTGTCCAATTGATCATTATTAAGAAAATAACCACGACGAATGAAAGGTTTATTGAAATTGAACATCGAAGCATAGGAATCCACGTCGAAACGTTCTTTTGGAATTTCACTTCCAACATCAATGCAATTCTTTAGAACATTCCAATATGATTCAGGTCCATCAATCCCATTGGCTAATTCACAGGACATTCCGATCATGGCTATCGGTTCCAAATTGTCTTGCATGTTATGACAATTCTTATTAGTTTCCTGAATATTGAAACCACATCTAACACACTCTAAGTAGATGTCACTCATTGATAATTGTTAGTTGGGTAAAAAAAATACAGAGTTTTTCTATCTAAAAAATAGAAAAGTGAACTAATCGATAAGAAATTGAACTAAACACAATCATAAGAGATGTGTTTGAAAATATCGATCAATTATAATCCAAAAAAATCAAAAATTATTTCGACATTTCTGCAAAGTAAAATTTTCAGATTTGGAACCAAATATTTTTGATTTGAATTCAGAAAAGGGTGAGTCGAGAGGATTTCGACCATATGTTGGAAAAAGAGTGGATCCGTATAGAATTTACACAAATGAATCTGTTTCTAGATTTTACTCTTCCAGTTAGACGAAGCGTGATCGACAACGACTTTTTACCATGACAAAAGGTTAGTTGACGTGTAATGTGTAAATATCTAGCTTATTCTTTAGGAACATAGTGGCTCACATAGATTTGTTCTAAATAATCTAAAGAAAAAAAAAGTAACGAGCTTGGATCTTGATTTCAGAGCTTTATCTCGAAAATACTACCGTAGATAGAGCTTTTAAAGTAATATGCTGAGACATCAATTCGGTAATAATCGATCAATCGTACTGCTTCGACCGACATTAGTGAGCTACATAGTGTTGCGACACTAACTTTACATCAACTTGATTGATTGATCTTGAGATAGTGCGTGTATGAGTATGCAATGACTGTGGACTAGCAGTGAATGCATGTAAAGTTATCGCTTTTTATAAAACCACTGACACATTCTCACACCAGCACGTGTACGCTTGGTCCAATAATCGGAAAATTCTGTGATTTCGTTGGTTCAATAGTTTATGAGTTATTTAAAATGTGGTGAAGGATACTATCATTATTTGGGCGAAATAGCAGTATGTTCTCTATGACAGAGAGTTGTTTTGTTTGTCGCTTTTCCTAATAATAACTTAAAGGAGAATCGTTTTTCTTCAACTAGATTTTTATCGTCACCATTATTCATAATCTGTGACTCCAGAAAAGCAGACAACTTCTTCTTGTTCTTGACTGGAGAGTCTGAATCTGCAAGATGTAGGGGTATGTTCTTATTTCCTAAAAAAGTCAATTTCGGCCTCTCTGGAAATTTCCATCGTAGAATCATCACCAACTAAAATCATAATCAGACACTTATTGCAAATACAATAAGAACATATCATTTTGTCTAAACGAATGTTTTTTTTTTGTTGTGATTCATGACTATGTGTACACACTCTGTACATGTGTTCATGAATGAAAACGAAAAAAATCATCCAGAAAGAAATAAAGAAGCTAACAGATGCTTGCTATTTTAGCTATGTAATCTATTTTTTTAACATATATAATTATCGTTTGAACAAAACCTATCTCTGAAAATTTATAGATCTAGCTTAGTTTTCAATTTTTGTCTAACGATGCAATTCCTGTCAACCCTACAACACATCAAGTATTTTGAACAAGTTGATATGAAACTAAAATCGTTGAAAATATTTGATCTTGATATGGTCCAACAGGAAAATATATACTAGTGGAAAGGTTGAGCATGATATACAAAATTTTGTCGAGATAATTGGATTCAAAATTCTCAAGAAATTTTTCCAAACGTTGAGTTTACAAGATGAACAAAAAATATCTTTCAATTTTTCGAAATGTCTCATGTTTCTTTATTATGTTTATTATTTTTATCATACTGCTTCACAAGCAGATGTAGAGAATTCAGTACATGTGCATGTTACAAGACATGATGAAAAAGAATAAACGCAATAGAGAGAAATGAAGCGTTCAGAAAGATTGAAACATTTTTTGTTCTTCTTTCTGTGAACTCATATATTTATAATATTTCCTGAGAATTTCGAATTAAATTATTTTAATAAAATTTCTGTATTGTGATGAACTTTAGCCGTCTTTCAACTCATGAATTTTTTTCATTACATCATACAAACATAGAAAATTTCCAGTTCTTTTTAATTTGGAATCAAAAAAAGAGGAATCGTTCCTACATAATCCAACCTAATACAATTAAGTTGTTTATATTTTCGAGTTATAAAAAATATTGAATTAATTTGAAACTTTTAAGACAAATTAAATCTAAAATAATTGAAAGAACAAATTATACTATAACTAGAGATAATGCTATTGGACTTCAAAACTCATATGCTCTATGAAAAACTATATTATTTATTATTTAATTTATTTTGAATAGATTTTTTTTTTCGTATACCTGTATGTAGAATGATACAAGCTCATGCCTCACGTCATCATTCGTATGAAAAATTTTTCCTTCGTTCTGTCATATGTGCACATATATATCATCGCAGCTGAAGAAACAAAAAAATATAGAGACAACAATAAGGTCATTCTTGCACAGAATAGTATTTTAAAAATTTTTACCTGGAATTACATCATACTCCAAGCTCATATTTTAGGATAATACTCAGTTTTTTATGTTCTTTTCAATGATATCACTCTTGTGAATGAGACTTACAATCGATGTTTTTCGATCAATTGATATGTTTAAAAAAATGACTCATTCTATATTGGGTGTTCGAATTAGGAATACTTTTTACGCTTGCTATTTCTATTAGGAACAGGATCCCTAAGACGAACAAATTCAACCATTTTGAAACTATCGCTAATTACTCAACTAATTTTCAAAATATAAAGCTGATTTTTACATCATTAGACTTAGCAAATATTTTCCTACTCAACAATATAAAAATATTTTCATTTCCATGTAAGATAACTTAAGAAAAGAATAAATGCTTAAACGTTAGTGACCTTCCTACTTCAATCACGCGACCTCTTCGATACGCACTTAGTGATATGAGCAGTTGAAGAGAAACAGAGAATTTCTGTGTTTGTCTTATTGATGAGACAAAGAGAATGCGTTAATTAAACATCAGACAGAAGACTGTTCTGCCTGTATAAGTGCACGAGAGAATCATGTTTTAGTCAAAATATCATCAACAATGGAGGTTCTAACTCTAATCTTTTCTATATTTCTCAGATTTTCGTGGAATTACTGACTTTAAATTAAAAAGTTTTGTTTAACTTGTGTCATATTATTATTACAAAAAAAATTACCAGATCCAGTTGTATCAAATACAAGTGTATTGAATGTTGTTTTGGAGCACCTATCAGCTTTGAACTACTCTATCTACTTCTGTTTAAATTACATTGAAGGAAAAAAATTTCTTAATTTTATTTCATCACATATATGTAAAGAATATTCTATGAACGACAAAAAATATCTAACGCAAAATTACAGTCGATTCTGCTACACAAAGTGAAGCTTTAAGCAAGAATAGATCAGCATGTTTGTGAATAACATCTATGTATAAATAGTAGAATACAGTATTCAAATCATGAAGATGGATTATAGAAAAAATTTTCAAAGAATAGGAGACACTCTTGGTATTCTCGACTCGTGTAAGCTGCTCATCTTCTTGTCTATTCGCAAGAACGAAAATAGAACAGAATTTAAAATCATGCTATTCATCAGAACAACGATCTCTGACACAAATGAATATCATCTTAATAGTATACACTAAATACAAATAGTATATTCATAGTTACCGTGAAATAATGCCCAAGAATGATTGAAGTAAAAAAAAAGTGAATGCACTAGTTATTAATCCAAATGAATGTGAAAAACAAACTAAAAAAATATGAAGAAAACTACGTTTATCAAACTTTTTTATACTAGTGATCACTGATTCATAGATTTCCTGTTGTTTTTCACTAAGGTGAATGAGGTAAGCGGTCCAAATAAAATGATTCATCAATATAGGTTATTTCTCAGCTTAGTCATAAAACGCTATCAGGGGATTTTTTTTCATCTTACTCATAAACGACAATCGTTAATTAATCTATACAAACAAACAAAACAAGAATACAATAGACATCTTTCTTACATAAGCGAAAAATATGCACGCAATTAGATACAACAGCATGTATACGCATGATTTTTATCTTTACTTTGACGCATAATCACTATTTGTTGATATTTTTGGATGTACGGGTGGAGACTCAAGGACACATACGAACTATCTTGACGATGTGACTGTGTAAACTTAATAATTTCATAATTTTCTTTACACATGACAATAATAATAATAATAATAATAAAAAGAGTAAAAATAATGATGAATCGCATTTTTCAACAATAGATTAGTTTTTTTTCTTACTTTTGTAATTTTTATCATTGATAAGCTATATTAAAGTAATAAGAATAAAGAAATCAAGAAAATATAATTGTTATTTGAATAATAAAAAAGAATTTGAATGAGAGATCTTATGAATTCATTATAATCAAGTCATTTTCTCTTAAAATAATTCATCAGGATAAAATATGATCAGTGCTTTGGCAAATAATATACAAGATCAATTGCAAAAAATGTAGAGAACTTATTGGCAGAGTGTGAGTTTATGGATGAGAAAGATTTGAAGCGAATCATACGACATGTTTTGGCAATTGCTCAAATTGTCCATGATTTAGGGATGTCATTTACCGTTTAATTTAAAATACATATAAATTACTCATAATTTACATTTATTATAAATATAAATTTTTTACTTTTCGTAGTTTATCGAATATAAATTAAAATAAATTATTACATTTCTATATGATACTTTATATAAGAAATATCCTATTCATAATATTAAATTTATGTATAATTTATTTGTTGTACTAGCTTTTCATCGAAGAACAATCTGACCTATCTGTATCTTGAAGAAAAGACAAATACAATCTGCTTGCACTTCACGTTTGCTTTTCAATAATCGATTATTTTGTCGAGATTTAGATGGATCTTAAAATAATAATTTATTGTGACTTGTATCAAAAAGGTAATTTTAAGAAATACAGATCTTAATTTGCCGACGTGTTTCATGTTTTTTATTGAAATATTAAAACATTCATCAGGGCTCTGCATCACATGCTTAAGCACGAAATAAAGAA